CTGCCAGCAGCCACTGCTGCAGGTTTGAGGGCTGTGAACACAGCAGGCTCAGCTGCAGCAAGAACAGGGGATGCCAGGAAAGGAAAAGGCAGGGTTGAAGCAGAGCCCATGTTATGGCCCTGCTCTGCTCAGCTGGAAGAGACTGAGGAACGTGTAAAGAGCAAGGCAGGGTTGATGTGAGACAGGGAAGGTGCGGGGGAGCTCTGGCAATAACAGAAAGGCACAGAAAGGATCTCTGAGCCACTACCCCAGCAGGAGGTCCCAGATGAGGCAGAGGAGCAAAAGTCAGGCCTCAAGGTCTCTGCTGTTACCTGTTGGCCATCTTCTGCACGGAGCCAAAGTAATGGCACAGATTGAGAGCAGCCAGGTAGCTGAGGTTGGGAATGCTCAAGTAGAAGTTGAGCATTTCCCGTTTGTGACCCTCCACCTCTGTGGGCACCTGAATGGCGGCGTTTTTTCTTTGCTCCACCAATGCCAGGTCTTTCAGCAAACCGGCAGTTTCCTCTTGGCAAGAGCTAAAAAGAATTCGGACCCCAGCCTGGACCAAGGCTGAGAGCATGCCGTCGTAGTACTGCGTCCTCTGGAAAAACCGTGACGTTTCTCCTGCAGAGGGAAAGCACAGATCCGTGAGATCCAAGTGCTAAATTATTGTGAAAAATCTAATGTGAATCACTTGCAAAGCAAAACCAGCTCAAAGCTCCTTTGCTTTGAGCACTCGCAAACAAAAACAAGATGAGGGAAAACATTTCACAGAAAGAAGGCAAGAAGAGGTCATGGCAGCAGGATTTACTTGGTTCTTTGAGGGGGTAGAGTTTAGGAATTAACACTGGAAAAGCAAATTAAATGTCATTGAGAGAGGAGTGAGAGGAACACATGGTAAATGATGAACAAGAGGACAGACCAAATAAATCAGAAGGGGTTTTGTAAAGCTACAAAGTAAGAATGCACTTGAACTCTGTGTCAAACAAGAAACCAGCAGCACTCTGGAAACAACAGCATAATGCGAAAAACTGGGCAAAACCCATGAAAATGAATGACACTGTCAGCAGGGGGTAAAAAAGCAGCTCAAACACTATCCACTTATCTACAGCCCCTGCTGAGAAACTACATCTTCAGCGACCAATTCTATCATTGTTTCCATATCTGAACTATCAATAAATTAGATTTATGTCACAAAAACAAAGCTGCATCCACAACAATTTGATTTCAGTAGTGGAGTTTTATATCCCAGAACATCTGTAATTTAATTGGAGCTGTGAGCTCTAGTTCTAGCACCTGTGAAGCAGGTGCAAGCAAGACTTCTCGATTATTTTCTAGCTGGCACTGAGAATAGACAGCGTTAATAAAATCTTTTGATTGCATAATTTGGATTTTAGGATTAAAACAAATGGCTTGTCCAAACTTTATAAATTAAAGAAACAATCTTTAATTTTCCACAAATTTTTAATAAAGTCAGGAGGAGTCTTTGAGACGCCTCTATTCTGTGCTTGGTGACATGAGGCAACAGCTCAAACGCAGCCTCCCCACAGTGGCTCTTTCTTTGCAGAAGTGCTCTTCTTGTGTTTTTCCAAAAACTGATTTCACTCAGCTGATTATCTTTTGCTTGTTCAAGCACCAGCCATTGTGCGGTTTGGCCTCTACTTTTTGGAGGTAGAGAATATGTGGGAAGGAGTGCTGAGGGCAGCTACCAACCTCACTGGTTCTAAACCATGAGAGTTTTCCGATACAGTTTGACAGATTCCACTCGTTAGGTTACTACTAGAAAAAATCTTTTTCTTGAGTCCACTATTATTTTAGGGCTGAGCACAGATAAGATTGTCCTTGTTCCTTTATTCTGCTATTCTCACCTTCTTTGTCAAAATCTGTCTTGAAGTTGGGGTTTTTTTGCACTTATGAATATGGTCAGTTTAGTAATGTTTGAGTTGTTAACACGCTTTTCCCTGTTTCAGTAATTATTAAGAAATGTATCCCTTTGGATCCAGTTGTTAGATCTCTGTCTATATTAAATGTCCCTCAAATGAAAACAAATTTTTATGTTCAGCTGGTGACCTCACTAATGCAGTGAGAGAGTAAAAATACAGGTTTTCAACCTACTTTCAGTCCCATGTTACATGGAGAGAATGTGTGGCCAGTGCAAGCCCCGAGCAGGCCACAGAATCACAGAAAAGGAAAAGACCTTTAAGATCATCAAGTCCAACCAACCCAACACCCCCATGCCCCCTAAACCATGTCCTGAAGTGCCACGTCTACATGTTTTTTGAACACCTCCAGTGATGGTGACTCCACCACCTCCCTGGGCAGCCTGTGCCAACGTTTGACCACTCTCAGTGAAAAATTTTTTCCTGATATCCAATCTAAACCTCCCCTGGCACAACTTGAGGCCATTTCCTCTCGTCCTGTTGCTGGTTACTTGGGAGAAGAGGCCAACCCCCACCTCACCACAACCCCCTTTCAGGTAGCTGTAGAGAGCGATGAGGGCTCCCCTCAGCCTCCTCTTCTCCAGACTGAACACCCCCAGTTCCCTCAGCCGCTCCTCATCAAACTTGTGCTCCAGACCCCTCACCAGCTCCGCTGCCCTTCTCTGGACACGCTCCAGCACCTCAACGTCCTTCTTGGAGGCGGGGGCCCAACACTGAACACAGGAGTCGAGGTGCGGCCCCACCAGTGCCCAGTACAGGGGCACGATCCCTGCCCTGCTCCTGCTGGCCACACCATTGCTGATACAGGCCAGGACGCTGTTGGCCTTCTTGGCCAGCTGGGCACACTGCCGGCTCATGTTCAGCCGGCTGTCAACCAGCACCCCCAGGTCCTTTTCTGCCGGGCAGCTCTCCAGCCACTCCTCCCCAAGCCTGGAGCGTTGCATGGGGTTGTTGTGGCCAAAGTGCAGGACCCGGCACTTGGCCTTATTAAACCTCATACAGCTGACCTTGGCCCATCGATCCAACCTGTCCAGATCCGTGCCACGCCTGCCTGGGAACACCTACCTGTTTTAATCCTGTCCTTTTCGACAATTACACATACTCTCTCAAACATGCTCTGCAGGCGCTGGATCCGCTGAGTGACTTTAGTCCTGTTCACAGAGTTCAGAAATTCTGACAGAAATTTCCTTTCCACTGCCATGCGGTTGCTCACGATGTAATCGCTGCTGCTCAGCGAGCAAACCTGCACCTTTACTCCGTGAACTGCCTTCAAGGAAGAAATCACCTCGGCTCCAGAGGAGATCTCACGACTGTCTACCAGAATAGAGAGTGAAGGTTTTTTCTCCAGAGGGTCACGTGAAAACAGAGCTGTAGCTGCAGAGGGGCTTGTGGAAGCAGAACAAGGGGGCACTGAAGTGCTCCCACAGGTGTTCTTCAAAGAACTTGCCACCTGTAAATGTTGAAAAGCACACAGTAGTTCTAAGAGACGACTGAAGAATAAGGCCAAAGAAACACGTGCCAATAAAAAAATACAGGTTTCAAATACTGATGCTTAACAGACACACTTTGTTCCACCTTTTTTTAAAAATCCAATTAATAAAATCTTTAAAAAGAAAAAGGTATTTTTCGATATTGCAAAACATTAACACTTTCAGATTAACACTTTAACCCCCTGTAAACAATCTCCCAAATTAGCTGATCTAATTACTTAGCAGCTTGAATGACAAAAGCTTGCAGCCTTCACTCATGAGTTCAACAAAAACTGAACACTGTAAATGACAGAAGTCAGGCAGAAAAGCGTAAGCAATCAGGGATCCAACCTCAGACTACGAAGGGTCTTAATTTAGCACAGTGAACAAGTATTTTGTAACTACAAAGCCCAAAGAATTAGTGGACACTCTCTGCTATTCGAAATAGATCCATATTCCTCCGTGACTGTCAGACTCGGAATAGTATCTAAACCCTAGTTTTTATTTACGAACTATAAGATACTCGCCGAGTTACCCTGCGAGTACACCAAAGAACGAGGAGATGATGAAAAGCAGTGCAAGCAGAACGGACCCGCTCCTTTGTCACCAGAAGCACACGCGCTCTTGCTGCTGTACAGCTGACAGCCCTCCAAACAACAGGGCAATGGGACAGGTCCCCACCACGTGGGGTTCTTTAGCAAAACGTAGGTAAGAGGAAGGTCCTTGTTTTGAATTGACACCAACCTCAGTGGGAGCCTGGAGCTCCTGTTTCTCCGAATCGGAACTAGTGACAGCTGGTGGGAAGCATGTGCTCCTGACTTGATGCTCCGGGTGAAAATCCAGCATTTCAGACACTGACGCTTTTAAGCCGAGAAGCATCTCACTCTTGCTCTCCGCAGACTGATGAACACTGGTTTCCCCAGCAATTTTTTTGTGCTGCACAGAAAAGACTGAAGGCAATGACTTGGGTAACTTGGCATTTTCCTGTTCTGCCCTGAAACTATCTTTTTTCATGGGCTCGTTGCTGACATTTGTTTCTTCCCCGCTGGAATCACTGAGAACAATAATTCGGGACGGTTTCTTCTTTTGCATTGGGACGGAACAGTTCTCTCCCATCCCGGCCTGATTTAATTTTTTTCTGCGGCGAGTGAGGTATTGTTTTCTTCCACTAGTAAAACTCTCATTATTTAGGAGATCAAAATTAACGCACACTTCCTCCTCACTAGATTCACTTTGTTTCCAAGTTTCCTCTTCCTCCTCTCCAACGCAGAAACTGTCTTCTGCATAAGCCTGGTCTTGCTCAGGAATCTGGGGGGGGAAAAACCAAACCCAGTCAGTTTTGAGACACTGTAATGATTTTGCTCCTCCTCTCCATGAAGGCGCTTCGCTTATCCCGTCCACCCCACGCACAAGCACTGCGGGGCCTAGGGGCTCCTCACGCCTCCCAAAACCTCCCCTTGCTGTGAATATGCTCTGCAGTTCCCGAGAGGGCATTTTTCATCACCAGGAAGCTTTTAATGGGAATACTAACTGTAGTATCTCAACAGAAGCAAGATTCACTCGCTAATACTACTATCAAGCAGGTTGGAATTACAGACGGGAGTGTCTCCTTCGCGTGCGCCTGCGCAGCGGGAAGGGCTCCGCACCGCCACGCTCGCACGCTCAGGGCAAGCTGCGGTTTTGCAGGAAGAAAGGCAGATTCCACACCTTGTACCACGTGCACGCACACAAGGCTTGCTGGCAGAAGCACTTTATGATGCCTTTGCAATGTGTAAAATGAAATGGAAGTTCAATAATTCTATTTTTTGGCAACACTGCCTCAGCAGAAACAACAACAAAACTGACAAAATAAGCCCAGGCAGCTTGGAAATTGAGGCCCATGAATTCTTCTTATCTGCTTGCAAGTAATCAGTGAGCACAACTTAAATTTTTGTGTTACCAAAAAGAAAGTGTTTTATCCTTTTCATCAAATATAGATCTCCATTTTCTTGTGCTGAAGGAATAGTGGATACAGAAAAAAAAAAAGGGGGGGGATAAGGAACCATCCTGAGTATCTGTTTTTTTCAATTCTGTGATTTCTTTGGTGTCTGTGAAATAACAAGGGAAAAGTAAGTGGCTAAAAAATACTGTACAAGTGATTTATGTCACATGCTGTTTGAAGAGTTCAGAGTAAAACAGAACCCAGAAGACAGATCACATAGGAAACGTCTCGCCTGAGCACCAGGCAGCGTTCACATGGACGGGGAACACAGCCAGGTGTGAGAGAAACCGAAGCAAGCGGGAGCAGCCAGGGTAAGAAGTCTGCAATTCAAAAGAAGTTCTGCTATGATAATCCAGCGATGCTTCACTGGCGCTTTTCCGAGTGGACAGAATTAGCGCATAGCGGTACTGTCTGTAACAGGGCAAGAGCTTGGCTAAGGATCTGCTCCGGGGAGTCATTTGTGCTTAGCAGTTACCCCACGCGGCAGGGACACAACCAGCATCGGGGGACCACGTAAAAGAGGTGGTCTCCAGCAACATTGAGGACACGGGAGTCCAAGGGGCACCCTGCCAGAGCATACTGAGCAGCAGCAACAAGCACCTTAAATATGCTGCTTTATTTTCTCGTGAACGTTTCCAGACTTACATTACAGGCGCTAACCTTCTAATTGGTAGAGAGAATTTGATCTATTGACACTGCTGCTTGTCTGGCAACAAGGGCGCAGAGCCATCTGACATACAGCTGGGTAGCAGGCATATGCCCACACTGTTACGCCTCTACTGGGATTGCTGGTTTCACCAAATTGGGAAGTCAGTTAGGAGACTGGAAACATCACTTGCTGGGTGAGAGGACTTTGCCTCAGCAGCTGTCAGTCAGTGTCCTTTTTGACTGTGGAAGACAGCGGAGAGGGGGAGATAAGCTCCCGATGCTGGAAGTCCCATGCAATCCTACATCTATCAACAATGGTCGCCGTAAGAGCTCCGCTCTTCAGTGAGAAGACAACTGGGCATTGGGATGCTTTCAATTCAGACCGGTTGACAGCCTCGCTCCGGCTGAAGAACAGAGGGTGTATGCCTCTGTCAAAGCATACGTGTCTGCGCGCTTTAACGTCAAAATCAAAATGAAGTCAAGAGTCTTTTGTTAGAACTTGTTATTTATCAACAATAGGCTGCAAACTACACTTCAAAGCAGGATTAGAACCTAAATATGGTCACACACAATCAGAATTCCACTAGGACAGCAGTCATTTTGTTTCATACCTGTGAGAAAATCGCCATGTTGTTGAAGTTGCGATGAACCATTTTGTATCTATTGCCAAGAGCTGGACTACGGACAGACTTCAGGTAAACACCTTTCATCTCACAGTCTGCAGTAGAACAAGAAGATAAAAGAGAATACAGTATTATTAAGGATATAATTTTTAATTCATTATTGTCACATCGTGTTTTCAATATTAAGTAATTCCTTCATAGTTTTCCAAACCCCTGGATTTCACAAAAAAAAAAATCTGAAATTCTCCAGACATCTCTCAAAACCCCAAAACAAAGGACTAGGTCTACCCAGCTTGCCATCATGAAAGCTGCCAGGTAGACGGTTTTCTGCGCCGGCAGAGCTCTGGATACCCACAGCAAGGAGAAGGGCAATGTTAACCACAGCAAACCCAAATCACTCTGTTTTCCACGTTGCAAGTCTCCCGCAAAACAGACACAACTGATTTCAGAGGCTGGATGAGAAAGGGGTGGGTTTACTGAAGCCCACACAGGATCTTACAGGGAACAACTCACAATTTCAGTGGAAGACAAAAATCCTCAGCAACGTCTGGGAATCTTAAATGGTAGTAAGATGATTCATTATGCAAATATCCCAGGGAAAGACAAGGTACATAAGCAGAGATGGTTTACATAAGTAAACCAACTCGGCCAAAAAAGGGCATTACCTTCTCAGCTCTGCCAGTGTCAACACTGTAATTTTAGCTTTAACATTCATTTTGTTATTTCATATCATATTTTAGGGGTCTCTGTACCAGAAAACTTGAAAGAGTCAGAAATTTCTAAGTGAAATGGAAAGTTGTGTTTCTGTTCGGTCATAGCAGCGTAAGAGAGGGTGTCTGACTCTTGCAAGAGGCGGTCTCCTACCCCTGCAATCCTCAAAGAGCTGACTCCAGCCGGCCCAAAGCTATTGCGGGGTAGAGACTCCAGTGAGGAACTTACTACATTACAAACAGAGAAGGTACACACAGATAATGGAAAGCACCTGATTTACCGCAGCTGAGGAGCTCACTACCTGACACATGCTGACATATTAGATGACTGAATGGCTGTGCCTATCATACACCACTTGCTAAGCAACACCCCGTATCTTAAAACCATAAACGACTCTCCTCATTCACCATTTAACACTTGCGTGACCTCTACATCATCATTCAGGAATTGAGCAAGTGAAGAGTTCAGCTCGTTCTCTGCATCATCACTCTCATCAGATGAAACACCATCTGCATCTTGCTGGGACAGCTCAGCTTCTTCATCTAAAAACTGTCTTGCTGCATTCTAAAGAAGAAAAAAATCCAAACAAAGTTTTAGTTAGAAGCTGGCTCCCAATTACCTGATGAGACCTATGATTAAATGAGACATATGAGACCCCTGATTAAATTAGTTCATGACTTCAGAACATCAGCTTCTTAGATGATCACAGATACTAGGTTTCTGGCTTTGAACAGAGAATCCATCCCAGGGAAAGGTGATGTAAAGAACGCAAAGTTCAGTGAAATACATGACAGCGCACAAAGTTCTGTCCCACCAGCACAGAAGGGCGAAGCTGGAATCCATTTCAAAGCACTGGCCAAAGGTTAATACAGTGTGTATACCTAGACTAGTTTATGGTACAGACAGACCTCACAGTTGTAGCTAAGCTACCCGAAAATATTAGGCTATTTTCTATCTTAAACATCTAGTTTAACTCATTTTATTTGCTTTCAAAAATCTGTTTTTATTTAGAAGTGCTGGATTACTCTGAACCCAAGTCCACTAGAAACTTTAGATACAGACTTCACACTGGTTTGCCCTTTTCTGTTTAGGACTTAGGATTAATTGTTTCATGAATTCATCAGACAATGGAACTCATTATTGAGAAAATCCTCGTCTTTCAGGGAAGATGAGGCACTTCACACATGAGCTGCAGTCCAGGAGACATGATACAAACCTTGGTAGTAAGTTCCATCAAAAACGGGCAACAAGACATTCACAAGAATGTACATGGAAACGAAATGAATTAATTCAGGAACACCGATTTTGTCAGAGATAGTTTATATTAAACTAACTTTTTCTCTTATAATTTCAGCTATAAAGTACTGAAGTAAAACTTGGGGGAAAAAAAAAAACAAAACCAAAAAAATATTATGTATCCCAATTACACCAAAAGAATGATTAGTTTGCCTTCAAAATACTTGGAATGAAAAGCACAAGGCTGTAAATTGTAGTTTAGTACATGGAAGACTAAGGCATCTTGAGCTACAATACATGACATCTTATTTTCAAATTTTCCTGGGTCTTTTAATTATTTGCTTACACCAATTAGTAAACCTGACTGACAAGCATTATTAATAGTTCCTTTTCTAGAACAGTTTTGATTATTCTGAAACACATTGGAGGTCAGCTGTTTACAGGAAAGAGCTTTCAAGGCTATTGTCAATTAGTCTTAATCCTTCTTACTTGTGAAGGACTACAGAGAGGACAAATCCTGCAGCGTGAAAAGCACTGTGACTCCAAAAACTAACAGTCAAGAGTTTGGTCACATTTGGGAAACAATAAGTTACCAGGTTCTTAAATTATTTACTGAATCTTTGAATTCAGTGCCAGTGGCTATTTTGGTCACCTCGGACTTTTCACAATCTCTGTTGATCTAATTGCAGATCTCTGCTGCACTTACAACTCCATTACCGGTACTTCTGACAGAACACTCTAACTGGTAGTGGACTGATCAGAATGATTTTGATGTCTTTGAACTTCTGTGGATTTGGAATTCTGACATGTTCTTCACTATGAATGTTTAGGTAAGATGATAGGTGAAGACAGAGTAGAATTTCTTAAGTGTACAGGTAACACACTGTTTTTCCATGAACCTTTTGGTCTCACATTAAAAAAAATGTTTAAAGTTGAAAAATGGATTTTTCATCTACCTAATTCTTTGTATTCCAGAATATAAAATACTGATACTATACGGAAGTCTCCATAATGAAGATTACCTTTAAAACATTAAAAATAATAATGTGCCCCAAAGCCCTGACTACCGTAATTTCTGCCTAGTGGAACCACATCCACGCCTCTTTAAGAGCTTTTCAACTTACCATGAATATATGATTCTGGCCCTGCATCCTCTTCTGTATCCATTCCAGATGCAGTGACAGATTAAAGTGTAAAATACTAAATTAAGATTTAAGCGTTGGGGTCAAGGGACCATTGCTGTCTTAAGATGTTCAAAGTTGAAACCGCTAGAGCAGGTGGTAGACTCATATGATCAAATATCCTAATAGCTGGATATAAGTTCTAAAGTTCTGGACAAGCTCCTGAGCTCTCCGAGTCTGACTAATCTTTGACTATCTTCTACTTGTAACGTAGACTGTTATTTTGCTTCAGAATATTATTATGCAGGGCCCTACAGATTCCTCTGACACAGAATGGTTGAGAGGGTTAAGATCATTATCCAGTGTTTCAACATTGCATCTCAATTGTTTGTAACAAACTTGTGTGAAATAGCTACGAGCCTCAACCTCCTAAACAATGTCTGAAAAACAAACAACTGTCCAACTGCATGCCTACCATAATACAGTTGTATCATGAGATCCTACAGAAGTCCATAAAATAGACAGAAGCTCTGTTTTTTAGGCTATAAAATACACACAAGCTCAGAATGAGTGACTCAATGACACAGTAAATTTTCATCTTAAGTATGTGAAACCAGTGCTCAACATTTCTGGCATTTTCCTGTTTTGTTTTAAATTTAAATATAGACAAATTAGTATTTTCAGTTCATTCTTGCAGTCTGAACACGAAGTAGAATCTCACTAAGTCTCTGTCTCTTTTTTTGGTTTTGTTTGGTAACGTGCACTGCTCACGTTCAAAGGAGCATTCTTCTGAACTGGTTTTGCAATGTCACAAATGTGCACTTACATACATACACACACGTGACAAAGCACAGCAGTTATCTACATTCCAACTTCAATGCCAGCTGCTCCAAATATGACCTTCAACATATTAGGAGACACATGTAACGCCACATACCTTGCATGTAAAATTGCTCTTGACCTTTTGCCGTTTTGTACTTCTCAGCTGGTTTTTGTTATAGGCTGCTGAGCTGCTGTTTCTGGTCCTACTTGAGTTCTTGTGAAAATCCATGCTGTCATCACTGGACATGTCCGACTAGAGAAACATTTCACAAACACCTCAATAAGTAAGACCAAAGCAAGCAATATTTTAATTGCACAGTTATCCTTCAACATCCGTTTTTTTTTAAGCAACACGTGATTTTTTGCGATTGATTTGCTATGGCAACATAATGCAATAATGCTAATAATCTTATACAAAAGGAGCAGAAAAACTTGTTATTTGGAAGAAAACTCAGGTCAAATGTGACATGATTTTTTTTTTTTTTTAAATTCAAAACTTTGTTGAAGAAAGGTTATTTTACTGCCTTCCACAAAGGGAGAGGCTCAGCTCTCCTGCCTATAACAATAATTCACTGCCAAACAACAGCTACAAAGTCATCTTTGGAGAGCTTGGGAAAGAATTGAAGGAAGGAAGCAATTAACATTCTAATATGCCTTAGGTCAGATGGCAGAAAATATTTTTAATAAAAACACTTGTTTACTGACTGGAGGAAGAGTAAATGTTTAAATATATACTCCATAAATGAGTTTGCATTATTTTTCTTGTGTCTCACCAAAGCACTTACTAACCATGTTAAATGGGTGTCGACGTTTTCTGATGGCACGAATCGGCGATTCAAAATCACTATCATTCATAACCTGTGTAAACAAAAATATGTATAATTGCAGAGAGGGTTTTTGTTTTGTTTCACTTCCTTGTCATTTTGCTTTGTTGGTTTTTTTTTCTTTTTCTAAGACTCACATCAGGAGACTTCAAAACATTCTTTTTTTTCCTGTTTTTTCTCTGGAAAACAATCTCTTCTTCACTCTCACTGCTGGTTCCTACAGAAAAAATAGTAAACAACATTCACAAGAAAATGCATTGTTCACAATACAATATTGCTCTAACTGAGCAACCAAAATCTATCTCTCTCATAGAAGTACCTATGAAGGAGATTACTTATTGATCTATGCGGCAAATACTGTTCTCTTTAGCCTTGTTAATCAAAATACATAATCCAGCTGAGATGTACAATAAATCCTACTTCCCTGTAGAGTCTCTGAGTAGAAGTGATTACCCCAGCCAGTACAGATACAGAAAAAGGGAGGTGAAAAATGAAACCAAGAGAAGAAGCCCTTAAAAATTGAGTAAGTGTTATGCTTCTGGAAGCACTTGGTAATAACGTGTCCCTTTGGGTGGACTGAAACAAAACCAGAACTTGCTAAGAAGTCCTCTTTCCAATTCCTCTTCAAAGAACTGCAGTCCTTTTTGTTTTTCAGAAGACTGTGAAATACATGAATGTGAAATACATGAATGTGAAATACAAGATACCCCTTCACATTCTGCAAGTCAAAGCTCCAATTCTGACAGAGAGACCCTGCACTCGGTGCAGTAGGCATGCTGCCTGCTGTAACATCCTTCCTACCCCAAAGCAGGCTCGACATTGACTGCAGCTACCGCATTCTGCCTTATTTTTTCCTCTGTTTAGGAGTATAGCAGGATAGGGTGGGACAGAGAGTTAGTTCTGACTAAATCACTCAAAGGTTTGAATTTCTCTAAGGAAAAGCACAATATTTCCAAACATTCCACTTCTAAAATAACGTATTTCAATACCAATAACTATCATTTCAACAACACACACTGTCCTGGGAGGTTTTCAAGACCCGACTGGACAAAGCCCTTAACAACCTAAGCCAGGTTCAGTATAAACCCTGCAATTCTAAAACAGCAATTTGTTTCCTTTTGTGGCTTGTTTTGGTTTGTTTGTTTGTTGTTGGGGGGTTTTTTACTTATTAAATAGATTATGAATTTTTAATTCAGCAAACTAACATATCACTTTGAAGGTGTGATGATTCAGGAAGAAAGGTGGCATTCAACAATCAATTGCCCCCAGAAAATATGATGACTATCAGACAAATTCAAAGAGAAGGAAGAAAGATGCTTTAACCACCAAAGGAACTGTTTATGCTTTGTTTCAATGTTCAATGACAATAACAAAACCATTCTGAAAAACTCTTGGTGCCCTATGAATCATATTATTAAGTACTGAAATAAGTAAGAAAGAAAGAAATAAGAAAGACACTGAGTACTATTAAGCCTGAATTGTTTTGAAAGTAATTCAAGGTTATTCAGAGATAAACAGAACAAAGGGTGTGAATATGATCTGTAAGTGACCTACAAGTGAAGAATGATGGTCATTTATATATTGGCAATATTTGAATATGAAATTTTTTTTAATGGTATATTGGACAGAAGGGGAGAGAGAGAAAGGAGGAAATAAAAATAGAATAGAGCCTACAAACAGTCGATATTTTTAAGACAATCCAGGTTGGTGCTGAAGTTATAATCAGAACAGGTCAGTTGTCATGCAACAAACTGAAAGAAATCTATCAGTAGTTTCTATTCCTCAGGAACAACAACAGGAAAATATGAAGGCAATGGATGCAGGTGATTATGAATCAGATACTGAGAAGATTAAAAAAGAGCTTTAAAGGCAGTATAGCTCACACAATTATGTCTCACATGGTTGCACTGTTAGCCTCTGTGAAGAGATATGAAATGTTTAATTCTAAGTTCTTCCTCCAAATATGTATGCCTGCGTTTCAGCCTCAAACAGCTAAGCTCGTACGTAGGGTTAAAATTCTGGAAAGTCTCCTCATTGAGCCAGCTTCTAGTATTACAGCCATTATTCCCTTTTCCTTTCATCCTCCCCACCTAAGCCATAAAACCAAATTGAGGATCTAAAAGATACTGGATTCTACATTATTTATTTAAGCATGAAGGTGTTAACTAACTGTACCACTGAAATCCCTAAGAACTATGAAGACTGGTGTCTTCCAGCTTTTCAGTTCTTCCCAAATGGGAATCAAGTGCATCCACGGCTGAACAACCAAAGTTCTGCCTACGTGGGGTTGTATTTACTTTATCTGCAAGAGGCAGCTCTGGGATTTCCTTCCCGGCACTAGAGAAGACATTCATAGGAATTCTTTTGATAGCTTCAGTATTCATAACCTTTCTACTTGTTGGGGTAGAAAGAACAGAAGCCAAAGCTCCAGGTGATCCACTTCCCCTTCTTCTGTCTCCTGACTTCAAGTAAGGTGCTGCAGTGGTAGCATCCTCAGTCCCTTCGGTATCATTCATGCTCCTACTCTGGAGTGGCAATGGTGTGGAAATGCCTCTTCTCTCAAGACTTTTCCAATCCCCTTTAGACAATGTTTCAAGTCTGGACCTATCATTCGGTAATTTTTTTTTATCTTCAGTGGATTTAACATCTGCATGACTCCCCGAGGCACTGTTTAATTTTCTGATATTATTAGTATTTATATTTTCTTCAGGTATTTCGATCTCACACTCTTCGATGGAAAATCCCAGATCAAAGTTAACAGAAAACAATTCTTGAGAACAGTCACAAAGATCATCATTATCCAGAAACTGCTCGGTCACACTAATATCACCTGACATTTCCATGGTTGTGGCTTTACTGCCTATCGGCTGCGCCTTGCAGGCTTTGTCAGTGTTCATGTGGCACACCTCTGAAGGAGACCACTCGGAGCCTCGCTCTGCAACTGGCCTAATAACACTCTCACCTGAATCGGACCTTACTAAATGCTTATTGCTCATAGAAAAACTTCCATTATTTGTGTCATAACTGTGTTCATCTTCAAATAAATGTATACTCTTCTCTTCATCAGTAATCACATTTTTCTTGTTAATTTCTAGATCTTCCTTACCTTTTTGAACAAAATACATATTTGGAGGGTTACTTGTCAGAGCGTGATTTATCGTTGGAGTTTTCTTTTGATTTTCAGTGAATTCTTCATTGTCAAACAGACTATCAAAGCTGTCATTCCAATGGAGTTCCTCTTTGGCTTTAACAGCAGCAGTCTCAGAAGGTGATGCAGTTTTTGAAACACAGGTACTTACCGAAGCGCACAATTCACTGGTGACTTTCAGTTCAGGATTTTCAAAGAGCAGCAGTGAATGATCAACTCCTGAGGATGCAGAAAAGACTTTGTCCTGCAGTGTCGCCAAATAACTATCAGAAATAACTTTTTGAAAAGGACATACTGTTTCTTCATTTCTCAGCAAGTTTTCAAAATCATAAAGTTTATTCAAAGAGGGGGGAGTTTGTGATAAAAGTCTTTTCACATGGGAAAACATTTGTTTTAACCAAGAAGGCTCCTCAGATGGTCTCACAAGTGCAAAGGAATCCACATATGATTCAGGAAGATAAAATAAGTCAGAGGACCCAGGTGATTTCTCAACGGTGAAGCTACTATAACCCGAATCTGTGTGGTTATTGGTCATCCCCAATGACCTGCAAGTTTTATCTATGGTTTTGTATTCCTCTATTGCTGCACTTTCATGAATCATAGCACTTTCACTGTTGTCACATAGGTCAATAAATTCATCTAAGTCGAATGTCACCTCTAGTTCCTCATCCTTTTGACTGCTCTGGTCAGTATTCTCTATCAGAGCAATTCTTCTTGACGAATAGGAAGTTGAAGTATCAATATCTGTAGGCAACACAGGTACTTCCAAATTCAATCCAGAAGTTCTTTTGGGAGTCTTTGTTTTTGTTATTTTAAACGTGGAAAAGAATTCATTCCCATTATCATTTGTATGAGGTAAAAATGGTTTTACTTTTGATCTGTGCACCATGTCTTTTCTAGATGAGTGTGCTTTCTGATCAAATGTAGAGTTGGTCATAGAAAGATGATTTTTATTTCTTTGAATGTTAACATCTTCAATTCGTAAGTGAGGCTTAATCTCCAGTTCATAGCTGCAATCTCCCTGGTGACAAACACAGAGTAGTATTTACTATAAATACATACAGGCTTACAGGGACCTGTCATAATGATATTTAAAACAAGTGACAAAGGTTTTCATACTCCTAAAGGTTATTAGAAAGGAAAAAAATAAAACCAAAAGGAAAGTGCTTTGCATTTAAGGTCACAACTTTCAAACAAAAAAGTTTGCTGGCAGCTTAACTGCAAATCCATGCTTGGGTAGTCAGATCTGAATGTTTTAGAAAGACCAAAAGATACCATGCATAAAGATGACATTTAACAAATGCACCGTATTCTGCCCTAAGCATCTGTGTCGTGCAGTTAAGATGCCGTTCTCAGAACATTCACAGCAAGCAACTTCACTCAGCTAATAAAATGTGCAAGGTGTTATGTCCTCAGACAGGCTAATGCTTACAGGCTGTAGTTCTGGGAGGATTAGCAAATTGGGAAAGGTGCTGTGAGCAGAAGAAACCCTTATTCAAGCACAAGTGAGCCTTGAGTTCTCTGTTCTCTTTGTACTATTGTTTGTAATTTGGCTATTGCCATTGATGGCATATTAAGAACTTCTCAGTTCCTTTTTTTTTTTTCATGGATGCTTATTAATCTTCTGTTCAAAAAGGCACTGACCTAGGCAGTCAAATGTTTTAAAAATACACTTGAAAAAAGCACAATAGACTTTGACATCACGCCCAGTTAGGTATCCATACAAGGACTGCTTGGATTGAAAAGCTATTTATTTATTGCCTTTCTCGCTCTCTCGTAAATTAAGATTTCAAAATTAAGGCATGCAATCTCCAAAAGGAACAGTAAGCATCAAATGAGGCTCTGAAAACAATGGTTTGAAACACTCCTTCAAAGCTCAAACATGCTTCACTAATGGAATATAAAAATGAGGATCCAAGATCTAAACAGAAGGTACAATTATTTTTTGGCAGTTCAGATGAATCCCTAGACTCATTAATCCCTGAAATTAAACAAGGTATACCTCTATAGAATAGTGGGTGATAAAACTGACTTTTGCAATAAGAGGTTACCTGCTTCCTATACAAGTAACATTCTCCAAAAGTCTTACCAGATAAAAGTAAGGAAAAAAATATGGACCTCGTAATCATAACCTCCTCATTGTCCCATGAGGATATTATTAGAGCAGTTCTACTTCAGCTTGTGCTAGATATGCTGATATTCACTATTCAAACTCCAACAGCATCTGTATCTTCCAGTAGCATATAGTAACCTCCCATCCTCCTCTAGCTCTTCACTCCTTATCGTATGAACCCAAGCAATGCAGAGATTCTTCTCCCATGGGCAAAACCCTGGTCTTTGTTCACAGAAAACGTGACTTCTCACTTCAACATTCGGTCTCCATGTTACTGAGTTGCTAAGAAAGTTTCCAGAGCTGTTCTAACCAATGACACCGTGACACCAACATCTTGATAAAACTGGGACCCCTGGGACATCTCTTCCAAAAGAGATTGTGAAGAAATGAAACAGTCGGAGTTTCCACAGATGGTACACCTGGAGCTGCTGTTAACAACCTTTTACTGCGAGACTCCTTATGGGAGCCAGAGGAGTCTATCATGGAAAACAAGGTTTGCAAAACACTCTGGAAAGTCATTCTACACAAGGCAGAAATAACCATACCTAAAATTACTGCTGCCTGGCCTGTCTAAATGTATTCCTGAAAACAGGATTTGAAGCTGTCGTCCATGCATTTGAAGACTGATCACATCCTAACACAGTTTTGGATCCTCTCTGGTTGCAGTAGATGAAGCATACTATCCAGTATTAATAGTATTTTTTCACTCTCAGTAATAATGGCAATAGTAGTAATAATAATATTTAGATTTTAACACTAAGTTCACAGACATGCCACAGAAAGGATCATATGCAGAATAAACAAGGAAGAATGTGTGTACAGGCTGTTTTGGGGTCAGGGGCACAGCTGGTTACAAATCCTATTTGCAGCAATGACACCCGTGTCTCACTAACAACGTATGCAATTTCTATACAGTCACCACAGTAGAGTGGTAGAGCAGGGAGAGGAAGTTCAATAGCTAGAGCTTCATCTCTAAAGGGCTGGGAAACACCTACTCCATTTCTCACTACACAAGACATTACTTAGCTGCTACACACTTACTGCCTGGGTTTAGACTATCCGTTTATAAATGTATCCAAAGAAACCAAAAGTTAGGATTTTTTAAAAAGAGATCTCCAAGGAAATTCCCAGACTGTACAGGCTGACTTATAAGAAGTCTCAATACCAAAATAGTGAAGAAAACAACTACTATGAAAGGGTTCAAGGATGATTTTGGTATGTGTAGGTTCTAAATAATTAGTTTCACTCAAGCTGAGTCAAAACACAGAATCAAGATACAGAAATATTTGTATGAAATCAAAGAGTAGTAACAAACAACCACCAACTCAACCTGGTCCAATTAACTTCGCAAATGTCATCTGAGGAGATCACACATTTGGTTGACGAGGTAACGGTGCTGGATAATGATATGTTCAGATTTATGTAAGTAACAACTGAATGTTGCATAATATTTCAATTAAAGTATCCAAGCATTATAAGAACACAACGTACATTAAATGGATTAAGAATTGATTAGCTGCCAAAGCACTAAACCTTACCAAGGCAGAAGTAGGTGATGCTCTCGTGCACCCCATACACTTTCAAGAGGCACAGCGCAGATCATTCTTGGCCCCGTATTGTTCTGCATTTTTTAAATAACCCCAAGTAAAGCTACCCAAAACTAATCAAGGCTGCAGGAAAAGATGAGGGTTGTGAGTAGTAAAAGGATAATTCAAATCACAACTGGACCAGAGGTAGAGCAGATAAGAGCAAATCATTTATGTTTTCATATTGCCAAACATGAAGTTATATGCTTAGGACGGTACAAGGTAACAGAACCATATCATGTCATCCAAAGGACATAAAGAAACGCAAGAATGAAGTTCCTGAATTGGTAATGGTGGTATGTAATCTCTTGCTTACATACCTCAGGAACCAGGAGGTGGCAAATGTGATGCCATTTTTTAATGGTCAGGGAGGAAGCTAATAGCTTGCTAACCTTATCTCTATACTGAATAAATTAGTACAACACATACAACATATACAACAGATAATATAACTACTGAATGAGTCTTCTTCAGAAGTGTCAATACTGCTTTGGAAAACAAAAAAAATCAGACCTTACAAACCCATTAGTTTTCCTTGAAGCAAAAACATGGACATGCTCTCATGCATACCATCTTCCCAGCTTTCTGAAGGGCTTTCAAAAAGTCCTGGCCAAAATCTTTAAAGAAACTTAGAGAGAGCAAACCAGGGAAATTTCTTGCACGAATAAGTAACTGGGTACAATACAGAAGACAGGGGGAGTGAGGAGTTGTTACAGTGAAGAACTTCATCAGCCCACTGCATACACCCATTATTATGTTCTAACTTGGGGGGAAAAAAACCAAAACCACAGTCTAGCAGAACTGCTGTGTGCCAGGACAACAGTCCAGAAGACAAATTTAGCATCTAGGACAAACTTTAGTAACCTAATTTCAGGCTTATATGGAGTTACATAACTGTTCTATTTCAGCTTAGTTCAATTTAGTATTTCAAAATACTTTCTCCCAACCAAAATACTTTCTCCCAGTGAGTCTAGTTAATACTGATGGAGTGAAATGACAGAATTATAATTATAACATTTTAGCCTGAGTGTGTACAACTTGTAGAATCTTAAATTACCTGATCAGCTCTTCTATAATCTAGTAAACTCCAGTATGTACCAGCTACTCAGTAAATAGGTCATGCAGGAGTAGAAAAACAGGCATCTCTCATATTATTGTACTAAATCAACGACCTTGCTTAGAATTACTGATTCAGTTTAAAAAGCAATAGGTTTTTTAATATAGAAAATAAAAAGGAAAAAGTAAACTTGAGATATTAAAATTTTCATTTCTAGTATATAAATACACACACACTCTGTTTTCTAGCATTTAAATTTAAGGCATTGACTATCAAAGTTAAAATTAACCCCTCCTCATAAGCTGCTTTGGATGTACATTTTCTAATGAGATTCAGATGTCTGCCAAAACCCTGGTGATTTTGCTATTTAAAAATTGAAAGAGAAGTCTGTAAATACATACAAATACATACAATATAGATTTTAACAATTATAGTTTCTTTAATCAAAAGCTGGATTGAAATGGAGGTAAAAGCAGCATGAACAACTGGCATTTAAGTCTTCTCTGACACAAAGCAGAACCTATTTTCAGAACAGTTTTTTGGTTAGACCTAGGGAAGAAAGGCTTTTGGATTGTCAGCTTCCATACTGAGTGTTAAATCCTGTGGAGTCAACACTACCAATCTAGTTAGTCACACGGGTATATTTTCCAGATAACTTATGTTTTAGCATGAATATTAACAAAAATTACAACAGTAAGGCTGGTGGTTTTCACACAGTATTTTGCATGAGTAGGTAGAGCAGATATCAAAGGAGCATATTCCAATCTAGTTGGACAAGTGGTTACAGTTTTGTAATAATGTAGGTGATCAGTTGATCCCTTAATATTCAAGGGAAAACCCTTGTGTTTGCCCTCACACACGATCCTCAACATGTGGCAGTCACCCTCACATTTGTTCTGGACAAAAAATGCTGCGCCTCAAATGCTCTCAGCCATGACCATTCTCCCCGACTCCCCACAAACACTTTTTCAAGGTTTACAAATATGTTCTAGGCTGTGATCATTGCTTTTAATGTATCAGATATGTTAACACCCACTTGCTGAGGAAGCTAAACTGCACTTCAATTGCAATGGAAGACTTCTGGAGGACAGAGAAACCAAAGTGTGCAGTCCTCCTCTAGCTCCCCTCATTACTACAAAGAAACCTTCTGCCTTTCAGGAATCCTGCTCACCTGCTTGACAAACTGGGCTGTAGGCAGTAAAACATTATGTTCCTCTCTGAAAGGCTTCTGCATAGAAGTATGTACTATACAGTATTTATTAGCG